CCTAATTTATCTATACTGAAAGTGAAAGGCAAAAGAAACAGAATAACTGACTTACAATACAAAAACTCATTTAAAACCTGACTGTTTCTTTTAGTTGCCTGAAAGGTATTGTATTTTTTTTTTTTCATTCATTCATTCATTATATTTTCCTCATGGGCTGAATGTCCATGTCCTTGTGTATTCGGCCTTATTCTGACCCATGTAAATAAAGAGTTTATTACTATTAATATTATTATTATTATTTATTACTATTATTGGTATTATTATTAAGTCCATAAATATATTTATTTTATCTGGCATCTCATTTCCTAAACTTTATATTACATAAGCACGAGTGAAAGATTCTATTTTTCACACAACTATCATATTTTCCTTAAATTCCTTGTACTTTGTCTATATAGGGCCTTCATTTTAATTGAGGTCAGCCTTTTACAGCTTTCTACGAAAGGTTATGTCGTCGGCATAACAAAATAGATCATGTGATTACTGAATTAAAATTTTTAATCAAAATGGTGTTATTTGAACCAATTTCATGCCCTTTAAATTCAATTCTAGTCGCCAACTAGTGCGACGAATTCATATCGTTTTTATGAACCTGTCTTTTGTACTGGAGAACAGAAATGTTACATGATACAGCCCCAAGGCGTTTCTTTTGCCTGTCTATATATCGGCGAATCATATCAATTTATACTTCTGGTTTTATATTATTTATCAACATCCGTTCGCATTAATTTCGTTTTTGAAAAGAAAGTGCAAAAATAGTGCAAAATCATAACCATACATCTCTTTCTTGAAACTATTGCTGGTCAGAAAGAGGCATGAACGGTGTCCTACAACACATGCATTTGTTCATTCGTGGAATAAATTATCAAACACGTTTGATTTTTAACTTTTCGCCACAAATGACCAAAATATAGCATACATTTACCCGCACACGGAAGCTATCACCTTAAGTCCACGAATTAATTCTGCCTGAAATGATGGCTCGTGTGTGCGCCAAACTTGGGATAAGATAAGCATGAGTGTGTATCGGACTGTAATGAAAGAAAAAGAGATTAATGTTATAATAAAATCAACCTGGTAGTAAATGAAATAGCACGTGTTACAAAGGTGTTAAAATAATCAAAAACATAATAACATATTGGATAATCGTTTAAAATTAAACAAAATAATCATTATTTATATTCTCATATTACCTGTCACTATTAATAACTTAAACACCTCTCTTGGATTTTTAGTTTAATAAAGATGCATCTTGTTCGTTATTATATTAATTGAAATCAGAGGTCTTCCGCATATGAAACCTTGGCCTCCAATTCATGTATTTTCGTTTACCATATTTAAAGGATCAATTTCTCCATCCGTTTGACCAATCGTACGTTAGCCTCGGAAACGGTAATATTTTTAGCTAAGCTAATCAGTAATAGGGCTCACAGCTCACCATCCAAATTTGAGCCTTCAAATTCATGTGTGTCCAGAATTATCCGCATTTGAAAGTTTTTCCAGAGACATTGCCATAAAAAGGAAAAGTACAAAAAGAAAGTGAAAGTTTTAGGTATTTTTGAAGGAATTATGCGATATTGGTACATTTCAAGAACTTCTGAAGACGATTTACATATATTCAAGAACCAAATCAGTCCGTTAAAAATGGGTTGGATGCATCTAATAGAATATGTTTCGACACACCAAACTGCTATCTTAAATAAGACTCAAAACTCATGTTGTTAAATGTGTACGGAAGGAGGAAATGGGCTGCGTGTATAGTCAGATGTTGGAAAAAAGGAAAATTTCTTAATTTTGTAGTGTAGAAAATGATGTCTTTATCATTAAAATTCAGACACTAGTTATTTAGGCTACTTTCACTTTCCATCAGTAATAAATATAGGTAAAAACAATTTTGTGAATTTTTGTGTAATTTGTGAAAATTGGACCTCTCAGACAACTGATCAGGGGAAATCATCGATTATACAATTGGCGCCAAGAATCATTGCCTTATTGTAATTAGCGATAGAATCCAACTATTTTCTGCCTCCGGCAATTTCCAATGTGACGAGATCGGTTCTAAAAGTTCTTTTTATTATATCGGACTAAGGCTATGTACTAAATTTCGGAAACATTTATTGGCGTGAACTGTTTTTCTAAGTGGTTGTCTGAAAGATATACAATTACTTAAAGAGAAAGAAGGAATTCTTCCTTTTCTGAAAGTACAGCAACTTACATTGTCAATATTACGTCCTTGACCAAATTTCTTGACACCGACATTGTCAAATCGTTTATTTTTAAACAAATAATGTAAACCCACACACACACACCGGAAAGATGTTCTTTCTGATTTGTTACAGTGACGGAAAATTGGTCTAGAACCATACGCGCGGTATAGACATGAACGAAATGCTAGACATTTTTTTTTATAATTTTCATGTTATAATTTCACCGGGAAAAATTGTACAGAGGCCTTTGGCTTAATTTTCATTAAAAGATTGTCATTAAAGATTTATTGTTATTATATTATTATATGCGACAGATCGGAAATGTTCAAACGAACGCCAAGGCTCGGCGATCTGTTCTGGAATGCATTTAAAATGCCTTGCATTCGGGAAGGTCGCACAAGCGTTTTCTCCTTTCACGCGATACAAGTGGAGTAAACGGTTATATTTGTAACCTCAACTTCATTCGTTTCTGAAACGACACTTTGGGAGGCCTTGTGGCGTTTTCGGGGGCTCACAGTGCGCATATTGCGCCCCAGTTAGGTTTTCAATGTGTTTATACATCTCTTAATACGACTTTGACGCGGTGAGCTAAAATTGATAAAAATCATGTCATGATCATGCTTTTTCTGGGCGGTCTGCTGTAAAAACTGATGTTTCATATTTCAGATAAACGTTGAGGGATCTCCCAATGACGCCAATAGATGCCAAGTTTTTATATAAGTTCATGATGTTGTGAGAAAAATGAAGAATCGCTACGTCAACGAACAGTTCGCTAATACCTTAGAAATGCAATTTCTCTATTATTGTCTTATTATTATATTACGAAATCAGACTTGGCTGTGCTTTAAACAGATACATATTGGATTAGGTTTGATTTGTAAGAGGTCTTATCATATTATAGGAATGTAGGAGATTAGTCAAATGACGGGACGGTGCTAACTTCCACTTAATCTACTAAAAACTCTTATCTTCTCTCTGATGTCATTTACATTGAATAGAAATTGGGTTAGTTAGGAATCTTACTTTGGCCAATACTAAAACATAGGATAACCCGTGCCTGTAGACTAAAAGGCAATAAATGACTTCAAAGTAATGGTAATTATTGACCAGTAAAGGGTATTGGATAACTTGAGGGCGTCTGCAGAAAGACTAGCAATATCACCGTGGTACAACACTGTAGGCTGAAGGCAATTAGATTTGACTGGTAATTTTAGAAGCACATTTTTCAAATTAAGCCGTCATTATCGACAAATTTGGCCCTCGCTAGCTTGTTGGAGAGATAAACCTATAATACCGTCATAGCCATTGATCTTTGATGTATTTCTTGAGATCGTGAACCTATAGACAATTTATATCCTTAATAGATTCTCTTTTATATTCAACCATTCTTTTTGCAATATTACCCTTTCTCAATAGGATAGTAAATTGCTTTATTGTAGCAGATCTAAAATGAAACCCTGTCGTGCCGTCAAAGGAAAATGTATGAAACCTTATCTAGTTTTATCCAGATGTTAATATTCAACCTTATACCAAACTGTTACAGAGGAAATTATTGAAACAGTTTAGAAAATATGGAAAATTTCCAATTTCTAAAAAGTACTTTTATGTAGGCTTTAAATAGTATTTTATACTTACAGAATATCTATTTAAATTTTTTTAATTTTAACAGCTGCACAAATTGTTCTGTTTAAATTTTCAGTTGTCGGCTTATCGCTGTACATGTAATATGTAAATTATAGGTCTATTCGGTATGGCATAATGTAGACCGGTCTTAATGGTACCCCTTGTAATTAAAAATAAGGAATTTTCATGTATTTTGCTGCTATAATACTGAAATTATACCAACTCATACTCTAGTATTAAAGCTAAGACCATAATATATTGACCTAATAAATATTATCATAGCTTTGTAGGTTGAAACACTTTGAATTGGTCGAATTTTTATAATTCTCATGAAAAAATGCAAAGTCGACAGTAATTACTGTAATTTCACATCATTTTTAATGACATAATTGTATACCGGATGTTGTCAATAGGTATTTCATTCCCTTTCTCATTAATTTTGCTTTTCAGTTCCTCTTCTTTGAAGACAGTTGATCTCGCACTGTAAACTTTCTCAGCTAGGTGGCTTCACAAACTGTAATCCATTGGATTGCCATCAAGATATGGGTGGTTATTCTTATTTTACAATGGGAAATTTGGAGTTTGGTCACATCAACTATTTGTTATTTATGGTCTGTGAATGATAATGATTACTCTCGGCATTGAAATGGTCCATAATTTTTATATTCAATACTGCACAAATTAAGTTTTACAACTGCTCACTTTAAATTTTGTATATTTGGAACTCATGCCAGAATATTCTCAGTTTTTTCCCTGATCTCTCATACACGTTTGATTTTACGTGAGTGTCCGATACTCATGAAATTTATTTCAAAGTGAAAGTTGACGAAACGAGGTAAATTAAGAAAAAAAACATGTTGACCAAAGTCATCACAATAGGCTACCAACCTGTTTTCACATACCTGATGGTTCTAAAATATAACCATAGTTGAAAATGGTATCGATTACCCAATAGGGTAGTCAGTTTACTTTGCCTGGCAAGATATCTATGTCAAGGGAAGAAATGAAGTAACTCTATGAATACAACGTGTACATATTCACAGACCTCATCATGAAGCATCAAAATTAGGGCTTACAATTTAAATCAAAATCTAATGAATGGCTCTAAATATTCACAGACCTTATCATAAAAAATCAGGTTTGAATCAAAATATAATCCTTACAATTAAGATATTAAATGTTTTTATTACAATGGACGGATAAATACAAACATACAATTTATAAAAATAATAATTCAGATGTCAATGATATAAGAAAATATATACAAGAATACGGTTTTAATGGAATCTCCAGACCATTTTATTGAAATTCTAGCATATGATTTCTAGACAATCCATACAGCTCTAACATTATATCATAGATGATCACATTCAATCCAGACTCAAAATATACTTTGAATGCCTCATTCAGTAATCATGCTGTACAAAATATGTATATTACTGTATAGCTTTCAAATTTGCAGTATATCATGACAAATAATAAGACTTTCCATATGCTGGGATATGCTAAAAGCGGTGTTATCATTGACGAGGGGACCATCCGAGAGCCTCAGCGCCCCTTTACAGATTTAAGAGGGTACTTATCATGTTGGAAGGGACCTCCCCATGAAGAGTTTTTTAATATAGAAAGCTGGAGAAGACATCTAACATGATATCATTGTTTATAGCCCGATACGCCATTGTTTATAGACATTTATAGGTTCAACATCCAAATGATTTCAAAGATTAGAAACACATGTAATCAACATTTTATAATTCCTTGGAATAAAATATTATAAAATGATTGGCACCTTTTGGCACTAAACTGAATTTTTTTATGCTGCCAATATGTAAACAAATAAACATTTTATTATGAGATATACAGAATACCAGACTCTGGTGCTTAATATTGCTTGACAAAAATCAAAAAACTGTTGCAAATATTCCATATAATATATGGATAAGCCATCTTTGACAACATTGATTTCAGAATTGAATTTTGTCTGCCATTGCAATGATATTCAAAATCAATAATCAAGTATCATTAGAATCATTTATATTAGAATGTCTTCTCGTCCATAGAAACATGAATTTCTCTTAGAAATTGGATCTAAAATTTACCCACACTTTCTTTACAGAGGTGGGAGAGTACACTCATATTCTATCAGTGTAAACAGTCATAAGAATTGGAAATGGCAACTGCCAGCTATGTCTGCTAAGCATGACAATAGCCATCAGAGTGGGTTGTACAGTCAACGTTTCTATCTATCACAAGAGTCAGTAAGAAGAGCACTATGCTTCTGATGATGTTGGGGCTGGACCGACAGATTCTACAATAGCTGCATGACTTATATCAGATGGTAGAATATCATATCCTAATTTCTTCATATCCTTCATTACTACATTAAACGATAGTGTTAGAAATCCTTGAGATCTCACTCTTGTCACTGGAAAATACAAAGATGAGTTTCAATATACAATAATGTAAATCACATTGATGGTTACATGTGATCTTAGCTGTCTTTATTTGGAACCAATAATGTACACAAACAGACAAGATCTTTCGCTTGTGTTGAATAATTTTGCTCATGCTAATCTGGGACAGTCACTTCTGCAAATGAGGTTGATCTTCAAGATATTATTTATTCTTCAAATTATGCTGATATAAACACCAGGCAACTTTATAGTTCTATTCTCATTAAAAAATAAAGAGAACATACCCTCACGACCTTCACCTTGGGCGACTACTCGAGGATCAATATATTCTGGCCTTCTACCTAAAAACCAACTGGTTAATTTTTGAAAAGCTGATGAGGATTCAGGTACAAACATTGGTATCTTTAACTTATGTCTGAAATAAATATGCAATTTGCTAAGGTTAGTTTCTCTAAAAATTAGATTATAAGGAATATTTTATGATATAATATTTTGCTATCAAAGATATAAAGCAAAGTGGGAATATGAGAATAAAAAACTGTTAAAGAATCAACAGACTGTATAGTCATACTATAAGTTTTTTATATGTTTTTTTTACAGGAAAATCATACAGTGTTAGTAATATACATGTACTTGAAGGGAAACTATTTTCTTATCTTGTCCAAAAAGCAAATTAAACACAAAGTCAATAAACAATATCAAAGCTTTTTCTTAAAAAAATATTGAAAATGTGTTTACTGTTTCTGGCTTAAGCAACTTTAGCTACAAGATAAAATACATATGACTTTTGAGAAAGCTGTTGTGTTTGACTGCCTTCAGAAACAGAATTAAAAGGAGTTTTACTTCCTACTATTGGCAACTGATTCATTAATATAGACTGGCAACACCATCAGTGTGAAATTTTGCCAGAACAGAGGTATAAGTCTGATGTTTTTTTTCAATTTCCAGCTATTGAGGGATCAGTTTATTGTCCAATCTAATAGACTAGACACTATTTTCATGTCAGTCCCTCTGACCTGCATCATCGACTTAATTCAACTAAAATTAAGCAATTGATGCTGTTACTATTGTAAAATCTGTTTTAAATAAATGCTTAGTTTTAATGAAATTGAAAGAATACAGACATCTGATTGGAATGATACAAAGAAATGCTAACATAGTCCCCAATACACAAAATAGTTTAGAAAAACTCTTTAAAATCCCTTTAACAGTGATCAATCATCTAAATCATTGACATTAGAATCTAAGAGGGAATCAGCTTACAACTAACCTTCCAGGTGTGATAGGAACATGACAGTTACCATAACCTCTTACAACATCAGTTCCAAACACATCAGGTCCATAAGCATGTACCACTATCTGTGGCCCTGAATAAAACCCAATAATCAGAAAACAATTTCATAAATGTAAATATTCTTACTTTATTCTGATAATAATTCTATTTCTAAGTGAATCATAAAATAAAACAGAATTATTGTTTATATATTTCAAACCCACGGTTTCTTGTGAATAAAAGAGTTGTGTATTGAAAATAAATTTCAAATGGCTGGATGTGGTAATGATAAAACATTTATCTTTTTTATCTGCATATAATTGAAATTGAAAGTAGTCCTTTATAAAACCATAAAGTCTACTTACATCCACTTGGATTTGTACTTTTAAAAGTAATATCAATTGGAAAATTCCATACAAATCTTTGTTTCTCATCTTGACTTTTTTTAGTTACCTGTGTTATACCTTCTTCTAAACCCTAGGGATGAAATAATGTGTACTGGTAAGTTTCTTAAGGTTAGAACTGGTTTCAAAAATATAACACATGACCCATGATATGTGAAATGAGCTACAAGCCGCAGAAATTAAATACTTCGGATATTGGAAAAGTACAAAACAAGATACAGTGTCAGACAATCTCAACTACTTCAGGTGAAGAATAGCAGGGCCTGAAAGTCTAATTCTGAACAGTTGAAATACTAAGTATAAAGTAAGGTAATAAGGGAAGTAACTGCAACAAAATATCATTGAGACTACAATAAATAGTTTTCAGTTGTGTGTAATAATCAATGGAGTATAGATAGTCATACTAAAAGCTCTTTTTTTCTTATTGAATCATAAGCTTACCTATGTTACTTAACAACAACTCCTGATGGCATTCAAGTTCAACAATATTATGGTTTGATAGTATAAAATGAACATTTGATCATTGGGCAGTTTATAATTGTCTGAGCAAATCAAAACATTTTTTTTTGCGTTGATAAAAATATAGTATATATATAAGTAGAAATTTCAACCCAAAAAAGTCTAAAATGTGGCTTAAATTTGTCCTCTGTAAAAAAAATTTATGAAGACATAATGTGTGCTCACAACCTTTATATTTTCATGAACAAAAAGAAATTCTAAGACTAACAGTACTATTTTGAGGCTGCTTTTCCAATTCTCATAAAAGTATTGGACAAAATTCAAAAAACTTTTAACTTTACTAAGACAATAAGTTTACTTACTGATGTTATCAACCAATCTTGTCCATGTGTAAAACAATATCTACAATATACATCGTCAAACTCTGGAAACTGGAAAAAAAAGAATTTCATTTACACCATGATGTCTAACACTTTCCAGGAAACCTGGTTTGCAAACCACAAGACTAGAAACTGTTCTAAACAAAAATTTGGCATGTCAGGTGCTTAAGCAGACTGTTTGATTCATTAAACAGGTCGTATATGAACATATTATAAAGGACTGTATTGTAAGTACAGCTTCTCGAAGTAAATACTCTATGAAGAAATGGACCATGCCAGGTCTAGGGCAGCAGCATTTTAATTGTAACATTTACATAGATAAAGCTTACTAGTAGATTGTTTTCAGAATCACATTTATCCAGCCTCTGATAACTATTTGGAAAGATTTCAGCTGGTGTAAAGACAGAAAAAATAGGCCCTTTTAAATGGGGACATTCCACATCTCCACAGGTGCAGGGGTTTTAAACCTGTTTATCTATTTCTGATTATATCTAGAAGGATGAATATTTTTGTAGTTTAGTCATACCATCATTGTCTCCCTACACCCTTATGTCACATCTACAGTTTCATTTCAGTTTTTTTTTAAATAAACAGATCAAGTATTGACCTTTTAAAACTGCGAGCCCAAAGGTTTAAAGATCGCTGAGTCACATATGATACTAACAATACCGGTAGTAATAGTTACGGTGATGCCCAACACAAATTTACAATCATCGTCAAGGTAATTTAATATTATGCTACAAAAAACACATCTTCGGCTGACAACTGGCAAAATATCCATCAGAGGCTGGAATAAAGGCAGATGTTTAAGACTACCGGTACTCCTAGAATGGGTTAATTTCAGATGAAAAGGAGGGAAGTAGACCTCTATTTATTTCAAATGTTAAATCGTTCACCCTTATGTTTCTATGAGGACCCAAATACATTAAAAGAGAAATCTTTGAAAAATTCATTTTTGATAATTGTGAAATTCAATGGTCGAAGATATGGAGAAATTGAAAATATGCAGATATTAGGTATCGAGTCAGGACATGTCCACTTAATATTTATTCTTAAATTTAGGGGATTTACCTAAGCCGAAGTATCATTTTTACGGGGAACTCTGTAAACGATAAGAAAATATAGCTGTCTTTAATAAATTTTAATTGAAAAGCAACGCATTTACCTCTGCAGATTCAATTTGGCCACTAACCATCAACAGAAATACAGAATTTGACGCCATGTTCTTTGTAAACACATTGGGTGAGTTCGATTGAAGTGCAGTACACATTAACGCGTTGGACACGAACACCAATAGAATTGCTCATCGCACGGTCTTGCGAATAAATTGGCTTTCTATATATTGAAATCAATCATTTGAAACTTTATTGTCATACAAAATAATGTTTATCGTGATATTAAATATGACATATTTTTTTCTACAGCAAAGAACTATTTTGATTTTAGAGTCTAAACGACATTTCGATTGCGCTTACACAATAAGGAACAGATAACTCTAATTATTTTAATACTACAGACTTATTTAACTGTAGACAAGGAACGGCCAATGTTATATTTGTGCTGTTTTGATTTAATTTACTATGGCTTCAATTCGTTGGAAAAACAATCGAAGTCTTGATCAAGTGTGATGACAGGTCATTCATACGTCATGCGTTATAACTCCTCACACGCAACATTCCAACCCTCTATTCAAAAAACTGTTCGGTTTTGGATTTTCAAATTATTTAGGGAGGGGAATGTGCCCCTATGTAGTATGTGCGGACATCCACGCCTATATTATGCATATGTGGTCGAGGTTAGAAATCAGCAATAAACCCAAATGGAAACAACTTTCACATTCCGTACAAGATCTTATAATGTGAAGACATTTTATTGGACAGAACCTTTTAACCATGTTCATATTATGATAACCAAGTTTCGAAGAATAATGTTTTGATGGCGGAGATAATTTTGCTGAATACGGTGGATTTCTAACTTAAGCTAAGATTCCATATACGCGTCATGCGGATGCGTCATGCGGAAATAAATGGCCCTTGCGGATCCGTCATGCGTCAAATATGATTCCATACGTGCGTTAAACGTATGCGTTATCTTTCTTTTGACGCACGGACTTCTAGACAGATGGATGCTTTGTTGCATAAAACAGACAGGAAATCCACACAAAATACGTCACATTTGGGAAATCTAACAAAAGTTATATGCCAAACGTATGTTTGTTTACCCAAATGGTGAAGGTCGTATTAATGTTGAAATTAACGGACCCAGCAACTATTAACGAATGAAAAATCAGAAATTGACGGCTCCAGTTACTAATAACAAACAAAGACTTTTGTCTTGAATGGCCTTCCATAGAATTACGATATAAAATATAACAAATTTCTATAGATTTTTATTTCCTTTCTTTTGCTTATATAGATGGAAAATCAATTAATTAATTAAGTATAATTCGATTCTTTTAATGTGTGTGGAAGCCGAAAATATGGTAACACGCGACAACCATAGAATCATTGCAGTATGCGTTCAGTTGTGTTTCTTAGGGGAGAAGGGCGAGGAAGATGGGGGTGCATGGGCTCCAGTACCGAGGTCCCATCTTCAAACTTTTACGAACTCCGTAAAATACTATGACTTCAATAACTTCCATTCTTTTATCACAGAATGCAGCGATTTGATTGGCTGGTACACCAGCCAATACATCCAATCAGAGCTCTCAACAGAAACAACAAATCTGGTCATTGGTTTGGTTTGGTTTGGATCTGTAACTGGTAGGGCCAGATTTGGTTATCTCTGACAAAATCTAATTAGTATAGGGGCAATTATTCATTTAAAAGTCTAAAGTTTAAATAATGAAATTTGAGACTTTTAGCACATTCCGATGTTTCTACGTTTCTCATTTGTTTGTTCCTTCCATTATTATATGAAATATATTATTAATATGTGTGTATTATCATCCACTCTCAGAATTAAAGTTACATTAAGCTTTATATTTGTTAGCCAGCCTATTGTGAACATTTTAGTCACCATAACAACTCATTGTATGATTTAATACGAACTAATGATTTTCGTATGATAATAATTAACATTTTTACTGCAATAACATAATGCACAAAAGTCTTCAACATGGAAGTATGGCAGATAGTGCTTGTGGTCTATTGTGCTATCCTTGCTATTGTAACTTTATTTGGAAATATACTTATGCTACTAACTATTTTTCAAACCAAAGATTTGCATACTATACCCAATATCTATGTTGTTTCTCTTTCCGTGTCGGATCTACTAAGCATTATTATCAACATTTTTATTAGTTTGGCACAGTTCCCCACAGCTCAGCTATACATCAGTGAAAAATACGTGTGTATCTCATTTTTCTTTATGACCTACGTATTCCTTTTTACATCTGTTATGATGTTGAACGTCATTTCTATTGACAGATTCTTAAAGATTACTTTCCCTTTAAAATAAGCGATCTGGATGAACAAAACTAAAGCGAAAGTAACAGTGGTGGTATTTTGGGTATGGAATGTGCTCATGAATACCATAGTGTTTTGGGATAACAACTATTCAGACACGAATCACAACGTTATGTGTAACGAAGCAGTTATTTTAACAACTTTTCGAAAATATACCTTTATTATCGGAGCTGTAATTTCAACTCTAATTGTCATCATTTGTTACGGATATATAAGTTTTGTTACAATCAAGCAACGAAAGGCAATCAGTAGTCTTGGACAATATCCAACTGGTAATCGAAGGAGAAAATCCGTGAAAATGTACGTAATGATATACTCGTTTTATTTAACATGCTGGTTACCATCAAATGTGTGTACTGTTATATCTATGTTCTATGGACCACTGGACACTAAAATAGTTCAGATAGCATTCATTGTTGGTTTGTTTAATTCTGCCATCAATTTTCTTATCTACGGATGGCAAGATAGAGTATATAAAACTAAATTCAAACAGATTTTACATCTGAATTAGTAACACCTCAACCAATTTGATTTCAAAGATACAAAGTCGTGTGTTCAGTATTCCAGTAAAGTCATGACGTTATAATTTGCATGGTTGATATTTCCATCATAAATCAATAACATGTTTATTTTCGGTAGAATGTAATGCATTTCCAGTCTGTTTGTTGGAACTTTTTTTTTTCTTTTTTGGTTTTTCGGTTTTTTTTCTTGCTTTTTTCAAGTTTTCGACTGTCGACCTTTAAGGATCTAAATGTTAATTTTACTGAAGAAAGGCGAAAACCCGAGGAAGATGATTATAATATAATCATATTATGTTATAGTAGTGGCTCGGCAAATCCTGTAAAAATATGAAAGAATGCAGTCTTGGTCAAAAGGTTAATCTGACGAATGTTCAAGACTCTGGTCGTTAGACCTTACTGTGCACGAAAGTAAAGTTAGGTCCTATTTCAATTAACTGGAAATAATGAAGAAGAAAACATAGACTAGTCTGTATCAGGCGTCGTGGTATTAAGTATCGTGGGATGAGTGTGAATACGGGATGCTGTTGATGTACGAGTACAGTCTAATTAAAATTAGACCAAACTTTCGTTTGTTTTTTTTTGTTTTTTTTTTCTTAGTATAGCCACTTCAGAGTGGAGTCTAACGACCTGACTGTTGGACATTCGTCAAAATAACCTCTTGACCTGACCAATCAAATTTACGCCTTCTTCATCTTTGGCATTCTGTGAGAAATTGCAGGAATTTGATTGGTTAAAGCATACAAGATCAACAGGTTATTTTATTCATTACACCCTACTCTGAAGTGGCTATACTAAAAATAAAAATTAATGAAAAAAAAACAAAATGAAAGGACTAATGACTAATAATTATTCAAAATGTTTCTGGAGTATTAATTTATAGCTTAATTTACACATGTTATTCGCATTGATTCCCGTTGCTAATGGGCCTTCGGAACACTCATAAATGTGAATGAAGAAAAAGCACGAAAACATTTTTCTGGTGCAGAAAACATGAAACAGTCATCAAACATCAATAAGTGATGTGTCTTGTGCTGATATTCCATTCGTCTGAAGAACACATCCAAGAATAGACCTACAAGAGATTTGGAGGTCTTCATCAAAATGACTCTTTTCTAGTCCCGGACATTGTAAAGTAAAACAGTAGCTAAATTATGACTTATTATGTAAACTTTACTCCATTAACGTAGTCTATTCGCACTAACAGCAAGACTATTTTTTTCTTTCATATTTCATACAATGCTGGCAATAAGGCGATTATGAAACACCAAGTTAATGGTATAATCTAAGATTTGAACGACATATAGAAGCGAGGAGCACATTTAACAAAAACACAAGACAATATTAGTGTGTTATATTCAATAATATTGTCTTGTGTTTTTGTTAAATGGTATAATCGACTAACTCGACGTTAACAGTTAATGGCTTCGCTTCATCTAAGAAGGACCAGATTATATCTTTCAAAGTCTTTTAAAGATTTTTCCGAACTTCTTTTTAAGATAATTAAGTGAGTAATATTGCCAATAAATGGGTCCTCAAATAATGCATCTGTTATTAACCGACGGGAACAAAACTAAAATCTTGGGACTCCGGTCTGACTCCGGTCTGACTCGAATCGGATTCATAGGAGTAACATAAATATCCGGGGTAGAAGAATCAGAAAGGAATCCGAATCATCCCTGATCCAATTTTTTCATATCTTATGAAGTCCCTATCAATTTTTATCCCAGGAATAATGTGATATTTTAAATAATTCAACTCTAGATTTCTTATTCAAATAGAAACCCAAGAACACCGGCTGAAATGGCTAAATAAGTAGATAAGAGTTGCACCCTTTGCCAGAGAACGAAACTGCTGCTGAATGCTACGGACTTGAGACTGAAAAGAACATTTAAAAAATTCAGTTGCAATGTCTCAGTAAATATTAAGACTAGCTCAGTGGTCGCTGCTAGATGACCAAGTCTTGAAGATACGAATTGCGCCCCTTATTTCATTTTTATTAATTGTTATTCTTAGCAAACAAAACAAGTGGATGCCTAGCAAGATACGCGCACTTTCCTGATACGTTTTCAGTATATCAAGGGCAGCCATTTATCTGTGTCAAATCATACCAAAAATCAAGATATTGTTGATTTAAACAAACACACATTATTTGATAAAGTTCTGATATAAACTGTCACCTCTATCGCCAACAAATTTTGATACGTTTTTACTAAGTCATGGGCAATAACTCAAATTCCGTTGATCGAAAAATTGTCAAATTCAATCTTGACTAAGATCTCATCATTATAAATAATTATACCAAACTTTATTTAAATCAGATGAAAACTGTACTCTCTATTGTGTTCACAAACATATTTTGATGCATTTTTCATAAATCAAGGGCAATAACTCAATAACCATTCATTGAAAGATAGCCAAATTCGAACTTGTCCAAGATCTTATCATTATAAATATATACACCAAATTTCATTTAAATTGGAGGAAAACTGTAGTCTTTATTGTGTTCACAACCAAATTTTGACGCGTTTTCATAAGCCAAGGCCAATAACTCAAAATCCGTTCATCGAAAGATGGCCAAATTTGATTTGTCCAAGATCTCATCATTATAAATATTCACACCAAATTTCAATGATATTGGATGAAAACTGTAGCCTCTATTGTGTTCACAAACAAGTTTTGACGCGTTTCAAGGGCAATAACTCAAAACCCGTTCATCGAAAAATGGCAAATTCGAACTTGTCCAAGATCTCATCATTTTAAATAATCACACCAAATTTCATTGAAATTGAACGAAAAAATGTAGTCTCTATTGTGTTCACAATCAAATTTTGACGCGTTTTTCATAAATCAAGGGCAATAACTCAAAAAAAAGTTCATCGAAAGATCGTCAAATTCAAACTTGTCCAAGATCTCATGGATATAAATGATCACACCAAATTCCATTCAAATCAGATAAAAACTGCTGTCTCTCACAACAAGCCAATTTTTGACGGACGGACCGACGGGCGGGCGGGCGGGCGGACGGACAGGGGCGACGACAATATACGACCACATTATAATGTGGGCGTATAAAAACAAAACAAATGTTTTACGGTTTATAAGTCATACTTTCCCTTCGGGTTTGTATGACATTTAAAACCCTTTCCTACTGAAATTCCTCGGGATGCAGGTTTAAAATAATATCATAAAAAACATCGGCGGTATTATATTGTATACATCTAAGGTTACATATCTTATCATATCATATGTGTTGAAATGGTTAGCTATTACACTTGTGTATAGGCTACTTGGTGATATGTGGTGAATCACATGTGGGTTGGTGATGTCCTGAACACTAACTACACAAAGATTAACAAATTACAATGTTCAAAGATCCACTTCACCCTACCTGTAAGAGTTAAAGGGAAGAATGGAAACACAATTTCCATGTGGAATTTTGAATAATATTGAATGGAAAGAGCACATCAGAAACTTTGTCATATTCCGCAGACATAGCAATGTATAAACAAGCACCATTATTTTTAGAATATATAAAAGCAGAACTATATCCTTTTCCCTTGCAGTATCTTGCACAATCTAGAAAAGATCTGGTATAACGCAATTTATCCAGATTAGTCGTTGCAACTGTCAAACCATTTTCACACGAATATCCTACAAAACACAAATATTTATTATCTTTTGTTACATAAGATTGATTTTTTGACCTTGAATTGTTTATCTCAATGAGAACTTCTGCTGGTGCACACGATATCATATTCTATAAGAAACCTCTAAAAAGGACAGAAAGAGTCTAAGGTCGGTATATTTATAATAATATCAGTCAACCCCATTTTTTTTTATCATAAAGCGACCAACAAACCATTTAAAGCAAAATATTGCAAAAGTGAGTGTTTGTTAATAATTTCGGCCCCGTCCCGTCTCAAATCGGTATTCATGGTGGGGTTCGGACTGCATTAAGTGAATTCGATTCTTTACGTAAACGAACAAAACCCTTATCAGCTAATTATTGATGGTTGTTTTCCCGTGATCTATACTTACCAGAGCTATCTGTTAATTTTAGGATAGTTCTTTGGCCGGAAAATCCCATATACTGAATATTTAATCCGGTCCGAGAGTCAGCTCTTGAAGCTAGTTCATTCACTCCAACGATCTTACCAAGTCCAATCTCTGTTCCAGTCTCATACCACTGTATCCAATAAGCAGTGGGTTTTATCAAATTTAATGTTGTGTTTACGTTAACAACCGTTCCTTGACAGCTTTTGGCACATTGGCGAATGTTGATTTTGCTTGGTCCAACTGAAAATTCGTATAGTAAATGATTGTCGTCAAACAATCCTATATTAGATGTCCTATTATTTCTTATTTCAAACACCATGGAATTACCAGTGGCGACTTTCAGGAATTTTCTATATTGATAACCTTTCATACCAATCTCATGGTAGCCTGAAAAATATTCAAACAAATTTTTTTTTTATCCCCTCTGCACTTTTGTGGCTGATGTTATTAGCCATACAGCACGGAATATTAATCCCTGAAACAACTGATGCCACCCACGATTTGCTTGTCAGCCTGAAAACCTCTTGGAATAGTTCACAATAGTTGAACATGTCCCTTATTAGCATCAGTTGTTAAGGAGTAATATTTCGCAAGGATGTGTCTGAATATTGATATAAATAAATATTTACCTGAAAGATATCGCATTGACATTATGTAACTGAGAACAAATATCCATCCGTCCATCTCCGAAGTTTTTAGTCAAGATTGAATTTTTCTTTGAGTAAATGACATCCACCTCTTGTTCGATGTTGCCAGGATTAAAACTGTAGTCTTAACAAACCAAAACATTCCATTGTTCAATATATTTTATAAAACGTAATAAGGTGAGAAAGCTATATGAACTAGGAGGAACTGCTGGATTTGTACCAAACTGCGAGTTGCGTCTCTACTTAGAAGCACCGAATCGCCTCGGCGTCTCGAAGAAAACCTCTCAACTTTATTGATCTATATAAATACTCAAGTAGTGTCCTCAAGCAGTTCGTTTAAAGGAAAAGAACTTTCAGATCTTGTTTTCGAAGTAAATTTACACTATATCAAAGAAATATTAACGAACGCAGCATTCAATATTTCTTCAGATTTTAGCCTATCAAATTTAGTTGTTTTAACCAATCAGATAGCAGTATTTTATAAAATCTGTTTATAGGTCTTCGAGAATAATTATGACCCATGTTCCATGGATCTCGATTTTATAGTTTTATACTAAATCACTATTTGGATGGAACGAACAGTCGTATTAATAAAAATATCAATGAACCAAAATTGAAGTGAGAGTCTCGATTCTCCAAACACTAAGCCTAATTGTAGGACGACACTGAGAACATCCGATTCTGGCCCAAAAAACTCTCCAGCAGCCTGGAAACTTAATCACAGCCTTCTAGTAGCCTAAATGCAGAAAATGGAAACAAATATAGTTGGAACTGGTTTGTATCGAATGGCAAATAATATAAATATCTAGAGCGGAAGAATGAGAAAGTAATCGGAATCATGCAAGGACCAAGATTAAATATTAACATACAACACACAACACTTTTTGTTTTAATATCCCTTTTAATTAAAATCCCATGGGTATTGTTATTGTATTTAAATGATTCATATTACTTTAGATGTTTAAAACTGCCTCTATTATTCTTTTTATACAATTTGAAACAATTTATTTCCTAGACAGGTAGGCTTAGTCAGTAATCGCTTTTCTTCATTATTGCAGAAAAACCTTGAAGTTGTTTTTTTTTCGTCAAGAATTGTGCCTTCTAGAGTGTTTACGAGCTAAAAATTCAAAGCCTTCTCAAGAACAGGAGAAGTAACTCCTACTAAATATTTTTCGATTCTTCTGATTTTAGTTAGAGTTCATCCTTAAGTGACAACAAACACTCACACCAAGTTTCGTCAAAATTCGTCAAGAATTTTATTGTGCCTTCTATAGCGTTTACGAGCTATACTAAATATTTTTTGATTCTTCAGATTTTCAATAGGGTTCATCCTTGGGTGATTACGAACACCCACACAAAGTTTTGTCAAAATCTGTCAAGAAATGTGTCTTGTAGAGTGTTTACGAGCAATTGTGGACGGACCGACGAACGGCAATATACGTCCCCCATTTCGTGTGCGCGTATAAAAATAACCATGAACAAACAGTCAAGTTGCCTCTCGCAAAATTTAGTACATGTACATTTTTCTTAATAGATTTTAAAATTGAGATATAATTAAGGGTTAATAAGAAAAATCGATTTCAATATTGTCTTATTTTGATCTATTCACACCTTGATGTACTTTCTGAAAACAAGTAAATAGAAAATGAAATTAATTTCAAAAGATTGAAAACCAAATAATATCAAAGTCAGATCTAGTTAACGCCTGTTTCAAATTTTGCAAAAAAAGTGGGATTTCAATAAAGGTCGTAATTTCCTCCTCTCAGGCGGGGGAGCCCAGTGATTGAGACGCTGGCTGGCTAACCATAGGATCCAAGGTCCCTGTTTCTTCTCTGTCAGTGATACAAGACTCACATGGGAAAATCATCTAGTCGTTCGGATTAGCCCATATTATTTCCAATTACACCGGGGTAAAGGGATCTAACATATTTGATTTACCAGCTTCGTTTCATACAGTTGATGACTATAGAAGTGTTTTGGCATAAACGGACGATAAATTTGCAGTCAGAAGAATGCAACTAATACACAATTTCAATAAAATTTTTGAAACCTTCAGAGTAAGTACGAGACATATTTCTCTACACCGCTATACAAAACAGTAGAGTTATGGGACCAAGTGGTGACTCCAAGAAGGGCTACAATGGGAGAGTGGCAGAGAGGCAGGTCAAATAAAGATTTTCTTAATATTCATAGACATCATATTAAGTATAAAAACATCAGAACCATTACGTACAAGCTATTTTGATTCTTGTGTTGCCATGAATAGAATAACATTTACCTGCTTTTAAATATATTAACTTATCTCTTACTAATATTTCCATACAGCTGATGTTTATTTGGTATATTCATAACAAAAGTCACTGGCCAAATCGGTTTTATTTATTATTAAAAAATATGTAAATGTATCATTTTTAAACAAAAACTATTCAATCTGAGAATTCCTCCGATTCTTCTGATTCTTCTGTTTCAACTGCTTTGTCTGGTTGATCTTTTTTATGAGATACGTTTTCTGTTACTTTCCTGAAAAGAAAACACTTGTATAAGCATTATATGTAAATTCCATTACATTCAAAGGGTTCGTAAGTGGCTTTGTTATGTGTAAATCTATTTTTCCATCAGATACTTGTAATTCCTGTTTTATAGAAATTCTTTATTATGAAAATTTGATTCAAGAACCTTCGATTTTTGACAATTTCAGCACTCCGCATTGGATGTACTCGTCTTCCAAGCAAAAGTGAACAATCTTTACGAAACATTCTGAATAGAAACATGATAAATAAAACAACTTACTTGTCTTTTCCACCTGAAATTAAATCAACAAAAATATTACAGTAAACTGGGTAAAATACCTGAGTAGTGTTATTTTGCGACATTATTACATGTATTATCAACAGTGGTGATTTGCACTGAAGGTTTCAAAGGTACTTTTCTATTGTTTGTCTGGATAAATATGACTGACAATTGCAGTAATTGTGTGTTACTATATATAAAGGTAATTACATGCCTATAAGCAATACAGTCTCTAACTGTAAGATAACAACATCTCCCTTGTTATCACAAATAGACTTATACGATTATTATTTTTAAGAAAATAATTTGCAAAATAGTTGTGAAATGTCGAAAGTAAAGAGTCTCACCCAAGAATACACATCATACTCTATCATTACCGAGACAAATTCAGCTACACGGAAACTTGACGTAAGAATAATTTAGCTTACCATACCCAGGTCAAATCATTAAATAAGTATATTGAAAAGATCGTTCTAAGAAAGTGAGTATACTTTTAAAACACATGATAGGCCTATCGATATACGATATGAGGCATTGGCTTATTGGAAGACACTTACCAACTCCTACTTTCTGTTGTCCTTTTCCTTCTTTCCAATTTACTTTTTTACCCATTTCTCCCTTCCCGTGTCTCTGTATTACTTTTTTCCCGCCTTTCTCATTGATATTCGAACCCTGCAATATACCAGAATATCAATAGAAACATCTATAATAAAAATTATCATATAACACCACAGTAACTATTGTGGTGGGTCTAGGCTTCCAAGTCAGCAAGTTAGTCCGAACTGAAATAATGTTATACAAGGCGGTGAGTTCAGTATCTATGGGAATGAACATCAATACAGTCTTTACATGTAGACATATATGAGTGAACTTTCAAATTACCATATACAAGGTACTTCAAAGCAAGCAATAAGCAAGTGACAGCTTTACATTATTTTGTATTATGTAGTACAAGCACGGTTTATCGTTAAAACAGTGGTAGCTTGTCAGACAAGATAACATACAGCTTTTCCTAACAGTAACTCAAAAGCCATTTACAGGAAAATGGGCCAAGTCAAATTTGAACTTGACCAAGATATCACCAATATAAATTATGATCACAACGAGTTTCATTAAAATTAGATAAAAACTGTAGTCTCTGTTGTTTCACAAGAAATGTTGACGGACCGAAGGACAGTGGCGACGGTAATATACGTCCATATTTCTGTCAGAGTATAAAAATCCTCTTCAATGTAACAAGACAACAAGATTACCTCGGTTAGGAGTTTTGTCATTGAATTCATTCCTTTTTCAAGATCATCAATAAGTTTGGTCTTGCCTTGTGGAGGGCCTTTGCCTTTAACTGTACCCTTTATAGGCCTTGAAAAAAATATCAAAACATTTGAAAAATGAAGGTTTCATTTTAAATTCTATTGTTATGAAAATTTTCGAAATACTGTTATAAAGTAGTTATATTCTTCTTAAGACAGGCGTGATATTAATCGGATTGTTATCAAATTACAAATGTACTTATGCATGCATAATGCTTACCCCTTTACTTCGTTTGGTGGGCGTCCTTGACAAAATGTATACAAAGGACAACATTTTAATCGCTTACACCAGAAACAACAACAGCATGCAATAATAAAAAACAGGAGTAGTGTTGATGGTACCACAGCTATTAATAGTTGTACTCTCCAATCTACAGCTAAAAATATAAAACAGACAAATAATTATCTTATAACCGGCCATGCCACCGATTGCCACTCCAAATATATTATCTCATTTTTGCCCCAACCCCCTCAGATACTGGATACACCCCTGAACATGAACATCATATCCAAGTAACATATACAAGTAGCATGTATATCCTTCTTACGATGCACATTCTTTTATAGTTCGACATAAAATGCAAATATACATGTAGGCCTTTTGTAAAACTTTTTCTTTAAATCTGGCAAGGTAAAAGATGACACTTTTAACTTTAAAGTATCAAAAGGGTAAATAACAAAAAACCCAAAAACATAAATTTCAGAACTTACGTAATTTATGTGTAGTTCTTAGAACTGGGAAAGTATGCGTCATTATTCTAAATCCATCATGACTGATTATACAGGAAAAGATACCTTCATGATGATGATTTGGTTTCAAGATTAGGGCACTTTCAAAACGATTTCCAGGTACCTTTAAAATATAGTAAAACCTATTAATGGTTACAAAGTAATCATAAGATAGCTTGCCCGGCAAGGTAATATACGCCTACTGGTAGCTTTGATTTTGAATAATATTTAGCAGTACAGTAAAAATCACCAGTATGAAATATTCAACTTTCAGTCATACATTTCTTTTGAAATCTTTAGGGCGATACTGAATAATATTGAGTATGAGTTATTATTGCCCTTGTTCTTGAAAACGTGTTTAATCTTTAGCTCGTGAAAACTCTAGAAGACAAATATTCAATCTTCAGCGCGGTACTGAATAATAAAATCAAGTTTTGCAAGAATCATGCCTTCTAGAGTTTTTACGAGCTACAAATTGAACGAGTTTTCAAGAACAAGGGCAATAACTCATACTTAACATTTTTCGATTCTCCAGATTTTCAATAGGGTTCATCCTTGTGTGATTACGAACAACCATACCAAGGTTCGTCGAAATCAGTCAAGAATTGTGCCTTGTAGAGTGTTTACGAACAATTGTGATCGGACGGACAGACGGACGGACATGGGTGACATGTGGGCCTATAAAAATAATTGTAAGGTACCACATGTTCTACACTAGGGGTTTTATCTCAACGCGTGTCGCCCGTCCGAATATGAATACATAGAATTACTCCTAAAGTGTGAGATCCTGAATGTGTTTGACGTTTACCATTTTTTTTACGATTAACGGTTCGAGATTTCTTCATTCGCCATTCATATTTTCATACGTCTGTGGTTCCTGCAATTCCACTTTTCTAAGCGTTTGATGACGTCACTAATGTCAAAATATGCTTGAATCAAATAAGGCTCTTCGAGATTAGTTACGTCATCAAACACTTAGTTTTGTTGGAATTGTGGGAACCACAGATGACTGATTGGAATTGTGCAAATTGATGCTTTCACTGCCCACGGTACACATATCAAATTTATATAACCTCTTAACAATTCCTTTAAGTAATTTATAAGAGAAATAGATTCAAGAACACTTAGAATAAAATACCTGATCTATTATTTTTTCACCACCACCTCCAGTAATCAACTGATCTGATTCAAGCCAGTTTATACTAACAACGCCACCCTTTCGAGCAAATAACGAAGCATCACATCTTAAAGTAACTTTACTGGGTGAAGCTTCAAAAACTTCACTAACATGAGCTACAAAATAATATAAGGATAATCTAAGAATCATCTTTTCGTATTTCATTCTTTGAAATACACGTAAGCGGAAATATAGCCGTTTGAAATATATATTTAACTACTACATAGAATGAAAATGTGGCGCCCAGTTTGTAAAAAAATATAGCATACGTCTGACATATTGACGTTATCAACTTTTGATTGTAAGCCATTTTCAGATTATCAGTAAATTATCAGAATAAGTCTATTTTCCTTGTGTTTCTTATAGAAGTACCGAAGTTGGAAATAAACGTAATGACATTGGCAAATGACACTCACTCTCCATTTCTAACAAATTTGAAAATATGACTTTTATACGTTTTTGCCCATTAATATGTGTCAGTGGGCACCGAATCAATTCCGTTTTTCAAACATTTTCTTGGGTAGAACCCTCTAAGATGCCCAATTTGAGACTTTTGCTCATCTATGCGCTTCAACGGAGCTGTCACATTTTGAATTCAACTTAGACAATGTGAGTCAAGTCAGTGAGACTGCCCCTATCTGTACCCCCAGTCTCATGAGGCTGTCGCCGCCACTGATTAAAAGTACATTATATTTTAAACCTCTATTGTTTCTAAAAGGTATTGTTCATAGTGTACCTTAGGCCAAAATCAATAAGTGAAATAAGCCTTTACATGTTTTCAATAGCTTGGAATATAAGCCCAGCTTGCGTTTCATAACTAAGTGATCAGGATTTTAGTCGAGATAACGTACCAGATAGACTATAACCGTCTGCATTCACTCGTCCATGCCTATCAAACAAAACACTTTGTTTCAAATATAAATTCTTTCCATTGACATTTACTTCGTTAATAATTCCATCAAAACCAATATCTACTCTTGTGAAGTCGCCTATTTTTGTCCACTCATCGTTATCACTACCACCTATTAGTACGGTAGCCTTTGGTACGTATATCCCTCCAGTAGGAATTAATATAACGGCAGGCCCTTTATCAACTCTTAGTTCAGCAACCGACCCGTCTATAATTACTTCTATCGAATACCATCGACGTATCTGAAAACAATTATTGAAAAATGATATACCAGATGAAGAAGAAAAAGGCTCATGCCAAGTCGATGGTTTTAATTCATTTCCTACACAGTCGCCTTCCAGATTTACACACCTTTGCCAGTGGTGCTGCAAGGTCTGGAAGCTGGCCAAGAAAGATTGTCTATAGCCACTCTAAAATGCGGGACCAAATCGGGGCAAAATATCATAAGCATAAATCTTATTGCCACGGGACGCCAGGAAACTGACACGTTTTTTTAGTACTCATATTGCAGATGGGTAGGATCACTAGATGGTCAGGTATAAAGACAATGATAACACTACAGTTGCAGAATTGTCTATGATTCATTTTATGAGTGTACTTGTTAGTGGCAAATTGGTTTCTTTTTTCAATCTGATTGAGATATCCCACTGGAGCCTACAATGTTTCAGCCAACATCATAAAATTTAAAAGAAAAAAACAAACACCGGAGTAGGGATTTGCGAATGGTATAACGATAACGATGATCGGATTAGGGTGTCAAAGGGGAAGCTAGGCTTATATTTTTTTGGGGTCATTTCATGATCATACTTGCGAAATGTTTAACTCCTCTATAACGATTGATGTTATAGAGCAACTCAGGTCGGTCTTTAGCTTACCTGTAGGAGAATTGACTTTTGACAAGAAGTACGATCTCCAACATTAAAACAGAACCTTAAAGCACCTCGATGTAAGGCTAATGACATGAATGTTCCCTCCGTTTCACCATAGTTGAATACTAAGAGCCCGTCCAAGCTCATAAAATATACAGACATATCCAGTCTAAGTTTCTTCTTATCTGGGAATTCGAAATGCATTTTGGTGTAATATCTGTTTAAAAATCTGGAATGAGCTTCAGGGCTTTCTGAAACACAAAAACAGTTGTACAGAAATCAGAACTCTCAAGATATCATAGCATGATTAACCATCGTTGTAAAGAAATCTTATTAGGCTTGAAGATACCTTTGTTTTAGAACAAACCTTAAGAAATGACTTTTAACTAATATGCTGTGTAACTTACACAAAGGTTTTATAAACGTTTTGTTCAAAATGAATAAAGTAGAAAATTGTAAATTGCATTTAGAAAAAAAAAATTCTACCTATTTCCTCAGTATCAACGTTCTTTTGGGCCACTGGAGCACCAAATCCTACCCAATCCGGATTATGGATTAAACTCATATCTTTGAAATTATGTCTCAACTTTAATATTGATCCCACAAAAGCTGCAAATAAACAAGTGGCCATAATGAAAATTGATAATTTTTTTAATAAAATGTTACTCATTACTTGATTTAGCAAAGGAAAAATTATTGGTAAATTTCCCAATCAGTAAGCTTATATAACAAACTAACCTCTCATTCCATTGCTGTGGGTACAATAGAATCTGTAGAATTCATTTTGTTTAAAACAAAGCAAAAATTATGCAGTTCCAATGAGGGAAATTTTGCCAGGTCAGCAGACAACTCTTTTCCAGTTTCCCACTGTCAAGGGATCTTTAAATTGCACAGCCTGTAGAAAACGAAGCATCAGTTAATTGTCCTTTTCGAACGACTAGTCGCTTTTTCCATGTCTGCCCCTCTGTCCTGCATGATTGACAGAAAAAGACCGGGTTAATAAAAACGAGATATTATCTTGATTCCTGGGAGCGAAACCTGGACCTTCGGGTTAGTGACAAAATAATGTAAAGATTATTATGTATAGAATTTATCATACCGTTTTTCATATGCCTGTCACAGCCAACTATCATGTCGGCATCAAAATCAATTTCATCAAATTCTTCAAGTTTTTTAGATATATGGATAGGAACTTCAGTTGGAAAGTCAAAATTTGGAAATTTAGTAACCTTTCGATATTCATCATCTAATCTAATTGTTATTAAACGTCGTGTAATCTGTATAAATAATGTCTGCCATTTACCAAGCTGAAATGGATAGTCATTATTCGTTTATTTATATTTTGATTAGTAATGGTTACAAGTTGACTGTAAAAGCACGCGGCAGTTTCGCGTAGGAGATACACACCCTGTTTATTAGAATTCAAAAGTGTCTTAGGCTACAGTGGCATGTATAGTGGGTGGGGTGGGGCAGTCGGTTCAGCCTCTTTTCTAGAGCCTCCCCACCTAACTGTTGAAAAGAGGCTGACCCGGATTTGTGGCCCTTCTGGAAAATTTTGTTGCTCCTGCTGGACCCTCTCATCTAATGCTTCCTAAAAAACGATACTGGTGGGTCAAGAATATGAGTATCGTGGGTTGTGTCTGGAACCTTTTCATTTCACGCTGCCGACACATGTTTCGGGAACAAAGTCCTCCTCAACAGAGTTCTGTGTGGAAATCAGTATAAATCATATGATTCATACGAAGAAGGATTTCGAGATCAAATGTCCCATAACCCCTTGTCTTTCTAGACAATGCGGAAAAATGATCCTACTTGAGAGCTGAAGACTCACTTTAACAGTATTATCTGTGGTTATTTTAGTACTGCCAAAACCATTCTGTAATTCTAGCCTCACTTGATTTCCATGTAATTTAACATGTACATTGTGTGAACAACTCTTTGCATCACATTTACGATACCTAAAAAGGATGGAATAATCAAATGAAATTATCTGTAATGTTCGTTATCTTTATTTTGTTTTCTTTTTGTAGTAATAGCCATAAGCACGCCTTCATCCCTGACTCACTGCCGTGACAAAGCTGACACTGACAGAGGACATAATATGAAAGTTCATGCCAGATCTATGTATAACTTATCAGAATTAAGATTTGACGACCGGTTCTCGTGCAATTGATCAGTAAGGTACAATAGAAGATTAGATTCACTAGATGTGACGTCAAATAAACACGAACAATTGAGTATTCATATTCACAATGTTAAGATTCAACGACCTTTGTATAATACCTTGACATCAATAGGCATTTTGAATGTATCAAGGAGGTTTGTGATTTGATTGTATTGTAACCTAGTGAGTACATTCAGTGTCGCATTTGGGGATAAGAGAGTACCGTGACTGTATCCCTCTAAAATAAGAAAAGGCTGTATTTACTCGCATACAATCCATACAATAACCTGACATTAAGCAGATGTGGCGATGTGGAGTATTAAACTTACTTCACTTCAATTACTTTCAATTCCATTAAAACTACTGTTAGCAATGATTGCATGTTTTTAAATGTGAAAGGGAATGGGGTGCCGAATTGATATGTAGAGTGGGAACAAATATTTAAATATGTGGAGCCAAATATTTAGTTTAAACCCCTACCTAGGTCACTGCGACTGCTTTAGGTTTTTAATTATCACCCAATTACATAAGTCACGGGACAAGTGCACAAAGTGTTCAAAATACTAACAAGTTGCCGGGTATGTTCTTATACGATTCGGAACAAACCAAACTGTCAAGTAAAAGTGGTCCTAATCAAATCCAATCGAAACTTTACTGTGAAGTTCTCAAATTTGCACCAACCTGTGCAGTAGGGTTGCATCATTTGTTAATGGTTTAAAGTGAAGATACAACGTTAGAAATCGAACTGGTGTACCATGAGCAATGTACTTCTGGAATGAACCTTTACTAAATACAACCGCTTTTGAAGGAGATTCTGGAAAAGAATATAAAGACTTCATATTTTCATTCTTTCTAAATTAAACGACAGAACTTCATAATATAGACACTACATCCTACGAATTACTATTTTCTGAGAAAAGACGTCCCAAGTAATATATGATTGACGATTTTTAACTCTTCATGTCCATGTACTATCTTTCTTTTTTGGGGTTTTTGCGTCAAGCAAGTTTTGGATGGGCCAGGTAGACTATTTGGGACAATGATGTCAAAAGATTTTCCATAAGGGCCCTTTTATAAACTGAAATAAAAATTGTAAGCATGTAACACTTACCGGCACAAGGACCTTTATAACAAGGAGTTATTTCTTCCTTTTCATCACCACAACCACCTGGATTATCTCCACTGGGAGGAGGGTCGGAGCAAGTTCTAACTCTGAAATGTTGTCCAAACCCACATTTTTCTGTACAGGGTGACCACTCCTGCCAATGGGCCCACTGTGCTGATTCTGAAAAGAAAATCTTATTTAGATTACTCAAACTTGTACGAAGTGTCACTGGTAGTTACGGGGAACCTTCTTACAGCGGTCATTATAGCAGTTCCAAAAGGCATAAGCCTGCTCTTTGTCGATTTTCAACTGTCGAGGGATCTTTAACTAGCACAGCCTGTAGCACACGGGGCCTCGGTTTATTGTCCCATCCCAATTTTTTCCATGACAACCTCTCTTACCTGCATCACTGACAGGCTGACAAATCCGACGGTTTTACCTCGACCTTTATGCCGGGATTGAACCCTGGACCTTCAGGTTAGCGAGCAAGCATCTAACTCACAGAGCCACCGCGGCTCCTTCATAAAAACGGAACGAAAGTTTGATCTAATTTTAATAAGACTGTAAATTAATTTGTACTGAAAGCTTACCTATACCTGTATCAGCCGCTCTGCAAACAATGAAAATCAGACACAACAGAATTACCAACCTCTATAATAAATTTTTAAAAAAATATAGGCCTTATAATCCATTCGCCTAGAATTGGGCAACCGAAAATTATTTTTCGCAATCTGATTGGCTGGCTGATTTCGATCATGCTCGGATGGACTGATGCCCATCATATCATGCCCATGGTAAGTCTACCTAAATGCCCACCAATGCAAAATGACATCATGCATTTCATGCCTTTGTTATCATGGTGAGTATCATCATAACATTAAATTGTGAATTTCCAGAATCTGACTGTACATTATTTGTAAAAAGGCTTGAGAAGCTTTAAATTATTTTCAGAATTCAACAAAGTGACTAGGTAGGTCTAGATCTACAAGACTTCCGACTTTCGTAATCGTCAACAAATTATAACAAGACAGACAAGTGTATCTAGCATCCTATACCCTTTTGCCGACAAGTTCAAAACAAATATTTTGGCATACGAACCTTTATCACATCTTTCATTTTTCATTAATCTACTAATCTGAAATCATAATTCAGGAAACGCCCTCTTTCTTTTGTTGACAAAATGGCGTCTAACGACATGACGTCATCAAGCCATGATCTGACGTCATACTGTATAAAAAGGATTCGAAAAAAAGCAGTAGGCTACACGAGCTTTACAAACTTACAAATTTGGGGTAGCCCTAAGCTGGCGTATCAAAAATCTAAAACGCTGGCATAGGCATGGGCTTACGATTTAACACAAAATCCTATGAACATTTAATCTTTATAGCGCAATGATCCTTTCAAAGGATGTCTCAGCATCGATTTTTTTGTTTAAGCCTATCGGGAGTTCTTAGCCGATCAGATTTGTGCTGTGCCATCTCTTTATTATCATGAGATTCCCTACTCTGATAATTTCAGTAAAATGACAAAACGTGTTAGAGCGATGACGATACTGAGAAATTCACATCGTTGGTGCAACAGAACAGTGCCCTATATCAGTGCTTCTCAACAAGAGAGAAGGTGGGGGGATTCCTCCATGACTTGGGGAGGAGATATTGGTGGGATCGTCAGACCAGGAAGGAAATGGGAGTCAACGTAGTGAAGATTTTGTTAAATCTAATTTTAACTATGACCTGTGGTGTACTCGCTGACCTGACCTGACCCGACCTTCACGCATATTCATAAGCTAGCCTCGTTTTGTTTATAGCCTTGCTTGCCTTGTTGTGCAGTTAGCGTGCTAAGCCTTGATCGCTTATTAGTTTTAAAAAGTTTAATAGCGGATTTCTCCTACAATCATAGATGTCATCAAGCAGGAAAAAGACTGTGAAGGGAGTAAGAGACATGGAGAACGTTTCTGAACCGACGGGAGAAACTCTAACTAGCGGTAAGACTGTACAACTTGCAAATGAAAATGTTGAAACGCCTGTTGTGGTTATCAACGACATGCCTAACATGGCGACTGACGTCATCGTCGCAAGCCAAGGATCTCGTCATCCCAATATTCCGCTGCTGTTGCAGCGTTGGAAGCAGAGCTTCAATCTCTTCAAAAACAAAGACGGTACTTAACTCTTCAAAGGCAGATATCTGCAGAAAGAAAAGCCGTAAATGATCTTGAAAAAGATGAAGAAACCGTGCCTACCAATATTATTACGGAACCTCGTGCAGTCGAGAACGGATTTGAATTCACTGCCTCAAGTACAGCACCAGTCTCAGGTGAGCTTGAAAGATTACTTCAATCGCCACTTGTTCGTGATACGCAAAAACATGCTAAAGCCTTGCAGATTATGGACTTTCTGTGGGTCGACTCTATTCCCCAGTACAGTTCATACTCCTTTGGTACAGATAGCGGTATCGAGCTCCGTGTTGCTAAGAAAAAAACCCTTGATAGAGTCTCCATTGAGGAATGGGTGTATGCCAACAACCAAATTTTATTGGAACTTTTAAAACAGAATCAATTAGATACTGCAGGATTCATATCTTATATCCGGTACACATCAGAAATCTTTCGCCTTGCCTCCAAGTACGTATGGTATTCGATCCTTCTTTATGATAAGGAATACAGAGAGCATCAAGCAATGGAAAAATTTGAATGGGGCACACACCGTCAAGATATTCGGGAATTCCAATTGATTCTAAAACGCGACCATCCTACAATCCGTGCCTTTCAGGATGCCAATGTTATCAATGATCGTCA